CGCGCCCCCCGCCCCCGCTCGCCTCTCAGGGCCAGCAACGCTGCCACCGCAGCCCACACGGTGAGACCCGGCTTCGGGAGGGCGCCAGGCAGACCCTGGGCTTGTGGGGTTCTGACTGTGGGAAGAGAGGGCCGAGTGCTGCACGCCCCTGGCAGGAGCCTGTCCTCGACGCCGCCCTCCGCAACTTGGGCGAGCCCCGAGCTGCTGCCACAAAGGAGATTCGTGGCGTGGGCCCCTCGCTTCCCTCTGGAGCCCGCCCACCCCACAGGCTCCTTTTCCTGGGAACTTCCTTCTTGCGGCTTTCCTCCCCCCCCCCCTTTTTCATCTTTGCTTCCCAGAGCTCCCTTCCCCCGACCCGGTAAACATCTCCTCCCAACCCCAGGGGTAGGGGATATTTATAGAAACATGTGTTAGGGGACAGCTAGGCCACCCTGCCCGGAAAATCGATCCCCCAAAGAGCCTCCGAGGCCTGGTTCCAGCCAGCAGGGAGCACCCGCCAATTGTCCCCCGCGTGTGTAAGCATGTTTTATGGGAGCTACAGGTTTGAGCACAGCAGAAATTGTAATTAACATTAACAAAAATAAGAGCCACAGCAGTAGTCAAAACAAAACAACCCACCCCGTAGGATCCTCGACATGGGTATTACTCAAAAGGAAAGGGACAGCTTTGCTTTGTTGGTGGCAAGCGAAGGGCACCTGACAAGGGCTGTGGTCCCTGAGGCCCTGGGGGAAAGGGTTGCTGAGCCTGGGATTGGTGGCTGCAGAGATTCGACTTCAGCATGTACCTTTTTTCGTCTCCCAGCGATGGTTTTTGGATGGTGACCTCGAGCCTAGAGGAGGTGTACGCTTGGAGAAGGTGATGGTTTCAAAGGTCTTTTTCCCAAAGGCTCGCGAACACCCTAGGATGGGCCTGGTTCTGTGTGAGGTTGCTTGCAGGACATACGATTTTGTTGCTAAGTGAAAAGTTGCTTAAAAGCACCATGTGTGATCTGCAGGGAGCATCTCTGAGGGTCATGTGTGACTGAAACTTGTTTATCACGGGAGACTTCAGGAGAGGAAAGACTTCAGTTGTGTTGTAGACATGGAAGAGAGGTAGACCAATCTCATAGAACACGTTTTGTTGTTAGTTCTCATTCTGTTTTTCTCAGTGTATCTATCCTAGGGGCTGGAGATTCATTACACACGAATTAACTCGTGTGGGTTAGACTATTGCTGGGAAAGAGAGCCTTCAGGGAGGAGGAATGTTATTGTCACACGGGCATCCTAGTTAAGGAACCACCATTGGTTTTAGGGGTTTGGCTTTTCTGTTTTGGCTGGTTTAGGATCATCTGACAGTTTGGAAAATACAACATCCATTTCTCTCCCCCATCGTGTTGATGTGATCACGTGACACGATGTGAGCTGGAAAAGATGACTTGGTTTGCATGTGTTTCCCAGTTCTGTTTAAGGATGACCTTTACCTAACCAGAACTTCTTTGCAATTGAAATATGTATTAAAACTGGGAGAAGCTGCAGTAGCAGAACCGCCTGTGGGGCGTTAGAAAGGAAAAGATGTGAAGGTATTTCTCAGGAGAGATGCCTGTGTTTTGCTGTGTGTGGCCTGTGTGTGGTGTGGCTGTTTTTAATTGGAAGGTAAATTTTAGTTGCCAGGCATCATTAGATGCTAGGTTCTGAAATCGAGGCTCTGTGTTTCCAGTGTTGTTAGTTTTGATTTGGTTTGTGTAACAGTACAGATTGCCCAGATCAAGGGCATTCAGGGCCACAGAGTTTAATCTGGTCCTCCTGCATTTTGACCTGAGGATGCAGACTCCACAGGTTAACTGAGCTGTCAGGAGTCGTAGCCAACTCAAATATGTATCACACAGCCTTTCACATTTTCAGAAGTGTTTACGTGTTTGTTTCTAGAACAGTTACATCTGGAAAAAAGTGTTTGGAATGAGTAGGGAGAAAGGGCATTAAGTGAGAAAAGATTTATCATAGGAGCTTTCTCATCTCTGCCCTTAAACACATGATAGGATTGTGAACTTTGGAATTTTCCATGGTAGTTTGTTTTCTACTTTTTTTTGTGGCTTTTATTTTATCCTGTAGTAATTTAGTTTAGGTCAATTTGTCCTAAAAGTAAAACTAGTAATTATTGTATCTTGATTTTCATTCGTTTTTTTTTTCTTATAACAATATGTGGGAGATAACAAAATATTTATTTTAAAACCTTTTCATCTTTATAAATTCCAAAATATTGGTATATATTTTTATAACTTCGAATTTCTAAATCACCCATCAGTGATTTTTTTTTAACTTCTCAACTTTATTCCCATAACACCCCCAACATTTCTAAGATGACTTTGAGAGGTTTTAAAACACCCAGAAATCCTTAGCACACTGAAGCATGTGTTGCTTGCCATTTTGGTATTGCAAGAGAAAAAGCACCAGACTTCTTAGACTTTTTATTCACACAGAATTTTCAATACTAAAATATGTCATGATTAGAGGAGGGGTTTGTGGGTCTCTCCACTTTGACACATCTAGTTGTGGGTATTTAAACCACTGCGTTCATTTCCGCTTGTATTCTTGAATATGACACGTACTTCACTAGCTAATAGGACCAACCCATGGTTTCTGACTTCAAAAGGTTGAAGTGGGAGGGAAGGATTTTCAGTGTTCTTATGTTTATGATATGGTGCTAGCATATCTAGCTTTTCTGGGTGCCCCACCTACTATGTATCAGTTTTGTCCATTTGATTTGAGTTGTGATTTTGGAGTCCTGCACTGTTGGGGGCCCCAAATCCTCTTTTTGACTGGAACCATCAAGTGAATGTAATGTCTTACATATTCCAAGCCTGGAATGTGTAAGGCTCTTGGGTGTTGTAAGATATCTGCTATGGGTACTTTTTAACCAGCCGTCCTTTGCCTTGGAGGCCCGGCAAGATCTTGTGACTTGGGCCTCTTGGGATATTTCCCAACTCCCTCAGCATTGACTTCATGTTTTCTTTTGAAGATGCAAACACTATTGCTGAAGAGTGACTTCAAGAGACATTTCTTGATGTGTATTCTTCTATTTAGGAGACATTCAGTGCTTACTGTGTACCTGAGCTTGTGTTAATGGGGACTTAAGAAAAACAAGAAGTGACCCACCCCCCTTCACTCAGCCCCCCATAATTTTATGCAGTCAGCCGAGTGCACTTTTTGTCAAAACTGAGTGAAATCAAGCATTAATAATAAAACAATTCCCTGTAGGTACAGAGGGAGTTGTTTAATAGATCATACGGAGGAGGCGAGAGTTCTGTTCTGGGCATTGAAGAGTCAGTAGGAGTTTTTCATCTGAACACTGGAAAGAGGAGTCGAAGCAGCATCAGAAAAGGATAGTAGTAATAGCTGTCACTTGCCAAATACTATGCCACACACTTTACACACACACACACACACACACACACACACACACACACCCACACACACACACACCCACACACACACACACCCACACACACACACACCCACACACACACACACCCACACACACACACACACACACACACACACACACACACACCTCTAATCTCCCTAAGAGCCCTAACGAGGTAGCCTGGAACCTTTCTGCACACAAGGACACTGCAGTTCAGAGAGATAAGGTAAATTACCCATGGTCATACAGTAACTGCCAGAGCCGGATTTCATGTGTGACTTTTATAGAACTGACTTCATCAACAAGAGAGGAGTGTGAAGTGCATGGTGTCCCCTGGACCCTGAGGGTTCAGCCTTGTTCCTCTTAGAGAGACAACAATATGTAGATCAGACTGGAAGAACTCTGAGATGTGTTCTCGCTGCATGCATTAGATGTGGTAGTGGGATGCAGCCATGAGCCACAAGCAAGAGCAGTCTCAGAAGGACAGTATATACATGCCATCTCAAGCAGCACTGTGGAGAAAGATTTGGGGAGTTTAGGCTAGTGTGTGTGTGTGTGTGTGTGTGTGTGTGTGTGTGTGTGTTTGTGTGTGTGCGTGGGGGTGTGGGTCTGTGTCTGTCTGCTGCCTGCATATCTGCCTCAGTTGTCCCAGTGAAAACAGCAGAAGGTGAAATGTAACTGATAGGGCATGAGTGAGTGGGCACAGAAGGCTTCATGATAGTGTGGGAAGTGGGCAGATGCTGAGAGTGGTTTCCAGGTATATACACTGTCAGGGATTCCCAAGTATTAGCCAGAGTGATTATTTGGGAAGAGGGTTCTTTTTTTCTGTTTTGAATTTTTTTTTTAAAGTTGAGGATTATGATAGCAAGAAAACATTTGGTTTTATAAAGAGAAGTTATGAGTTTGTTCCAGTTGCTTGTGGGAGTGGAAACTCCCTTTAGCAGTTGGGCAAAGGGGCCAGTGTCCAGGAGGCATGGATGGGCAGTTCTGCAAGAGGACACAGGAGAGACCGCAGCCAATTATGGGTGCTCCTGACATCCTGGCTGTGTGCAGGATGGACCAGGAAATTGTAGGAGTGGAAAACCCAAGAGAATAGAAGCTTAGATCCATCTATGAGCAGGCAGCCATAGCTGATACTGCAAAAGGAGGGCAAGAGAAGGCAGGTGGAGAGAGGTGGTAGGCCAGGTTATGGGCAAGCTCTTTAGTTCTGGTCACTAAAATATTTGAAATAATGTTTGGTTTCTACAAAATTTAATTGCAATGACCTAAATCAGAGTAAATCCTTGATGCTCAAAATGTTTCCTTTTCCTAGCATTTTAGGACTCCTAAAATCCCAAGGTTGATTTTGTCCTTAATGTGCTTCATGAGTGGTGAAGCACAGATCTGAGTAATGTCGGTTCTTCTGAAGTGTCCTCCATCTTGCCCTGAAGAGAGAGGTTTCAAATCTTTTCATCCCCAGTGTTTGAAAGACTTCAGAGAAAAGAGAGCACAGGGGTGAATGAGGCTTTGGAGGAAAAGCAGTGGATGGATGAGGGCATGATGGAGCACTCAGCCACCTAGCCTGTGAGAGGTGGGGGTGGGTGATGGTGGCAAGTTTTTTATTTTTTTTCTTTCCCTAGGGCTAGACTTTGCTAGTGTGTTCTTGGCTAACTCTGGCATCTTAAAAATATGGGGAAGGGAAGGAAGAGAGAGAGGGAAAGAACAATAACAAGTTTGTGCTGCTTTTGTATATGATCAAGACTTTTCTAATGTCTTTTATGGACTGCCTTGCTTTTGAAGCAGGAAGAGATACAACTGCCTTAGTGGAATATAAAGCCACCCTACATGGAGGTATCATCTGTGTGTTCAATAAGAGAAATCTGCTAGAAGTCTTGAGAAGTAAAATTCTTGATCCCGTGAAATCAGGTCCAGGAACTGGCTTCTTTCTCTTTTAGAAGTGAGCGGAGCAGAGCCTCACTCCATAGATGGCCATTATGCTTGCTGCTTGTCAGTTAAAAAAAAAAAAAAAAAAAAAAAAAGACGGTGAAGGTCATCGCCTGTTAGTAAGGAAGGAAGGGCCGGAATTTCATTTTATAATCCAGGTGTTCCCAAGGTATTTCTCAAATCACTGTGCTTCTCTACTGTACTTCTTTCTTCCCAGAATATGAATGCCCCAAACAGAGGACTTAGCACTGATGACAAAGGACTGTTTTATTTACTATAAATTCCCAATGGGCAGAGTTCCTGCCACTCTGTAGCTAGTCCCTCCTTACAGCTGGTTGAATGAGTGAGGTGGATTTTGGTGACAAGTTGATTCTTTGAGATCTCAAGGAAGAATTTCCCTAGTGGGCTGCTTGAAGGAAATTCCAGGCGGATTCTGGGTAGGAGAGTGGGGGCTCTGCCTTTGGCCTGTAGGTTTTGTTTAAATAGGACTATTCCGGGATGGTATGTGTGCCCGAAATAGAAATTGCCACTTTGTATTTGTATTGGTTACTGTTTCCTTTGCTGGGAGCAAATAGCTGTGCAGAAACAACTTAAAGGAGGAGGGGTGTATTCTGGCTGACACAGTTGAAGACCGGCTACACTGTCATGGCAGTGAAGGCATGGTGGCAGGAACCTGAGGTAGCTGATATGTGGCATCTGCAGGGAGGAAGCAGAAAGTTGCAGGCTGCTGATACTAGGTTTACTTTGTTTATTCAGTCTTGAACAACAGCCCATGGAACAGTGCCAACCATATTTAGTTTGCCTCTTCCCACCTCAGTTTACCCAATCTAGAAACTCTTTAGGGGACACACCTCCTAGGTAGTTCTACAGCCTGCCGAGGTGGCAGTATTAACATCATGTTTTTCTTTATTGGAAAGCTGAGGGTCGCAACAGCCTGTAGAAGTAGAGATACATGTGTGGGTACTGAGCTGTAATCCAGCGGTCCAAGCTGAATGGCAATTGTTCAGCTTGTTGCACAGAATGACCTTAACTGATTAAAGTCAGTGACACCCAGTAACTGTTAAAAAAAAAAAAAAGGTTTGGAGTTTGCAAGGTAACTAGGGCACACGTGTCTATGGGAGACTCTGTCAATAGAAGCACATTTTGTTTATTACTGTGTGTGTTCCTAGATTAATTAGAACCTCCAGGGACTAGGGAAGTATAAAGTGTTTCTGGAGGTGGGCTGGATATGCGAGGGAGTGCTGGACAAATGTGATTCCCCATTCTCATGTAAGTAAAGAATGCCTGAATAAAAGGGGAAGACACTGTGATCTGGGTGTGGGCAGCAGTGTGGATGACACGTCACCTGTGTGCTTCACCTGTTTCCTTTTCAGATCAGTTATGGCTTAAAATACCCACCATGTGCCAGGCTTCTTATTAAACATTAGGTGCAACATGGTAACAGGAAGGTTTGATCCCTGCCTTCAGGAAAACTGACTTCTAGGACCCAGGCTATGTAGCTGTGGCATTCCCAGGGCTGTCCTATGTTTCCTAACCTTGCCCAATCTACTGTCCTCCTTTTCTTTTACTGTCTTGCCTATTAGCATCCTATTCGCTCTCCCTGCTGGTACGTTCATGGGATCTCTTGGGTACACACACTGTGGCTGTAGGTTCATGCCAAATTGGGGGTTGGGTAATGAGAGCTGATTTCTAATATCACGTTTGGAGAGAAGGCCCCTTCCTTTCTGTTTATGTTTCTTGTCTGGATTCCAGATTGGCGGCGGTAAGCACACCATGAATGACCACCTCCACATCAGCAGCCACAGCCACGGCCAGATCCAGGTTCAGCAGCTGTTTGAGGATAACAGTAACAAAAGAACAGTGCTTACAACACAACCAAATGGGCTTACAACAGTGGGCAAAACAGGCTTGCCTGTGGTGCCCGAGCGGCAGCTGGAAAGCATTCACAGACGGCAGGGGAGTTCCACCTCTCTCAAGTCCATGGAAGGCATGGGGAAGGTGAAAGCCACCCCCATGACACCCGAACAAGCGATGAAGCAATACATGCAAAAACTCACAGCCTTTGAACACCATGAGATTTTTAGCTACCCTGAAATATATTTCTTGGGTCCAAATGCAAAGAAACGCCAAGGCATGACAGGTGGACCCAACAATGGGGGTTATGATGATGACCAGGGATCATATGTACAGGTGCCCCATGATCACGTGGCTTACAGGTACGAGGTCCTCAAGGTCATTGGGAAGGGGAGCTTTGGGCAGGTGGTCAAGGCCTATGACCACAAAGTCCACCAGCACGTGGCCCTGAAGATGGTGCGGAACGAGAAGCGCTTCCACCGGCAGGCGGCAGAGGAGATCCGAATCTTGGAACACCTACGGAAGCAGGATAAAGACAACACTATGAACGTCATCCACATGCTGGAGAATTTTACCTTCCGCAACCACATCTGCATGACGTTTGAGTTGCTGAGCATGAACCTCTATGAGCTTATCAAGAAGAATAAATTCCAGGGCTTCAGCCTGCCTCTGGTGCGCAAGTTTGCCCACTCGATCCTGCAGTGTTTGGATGCTTTGCACAAAAACAGAATAATCCACTGTGACCTTAAGCCCGAGAATATTTTGTTAAAGCAGCAAGGTAGAAGCAGTATTAAAGTGATTGACTTTGGCTCCAGTTGTTATGAGCACCAGCGTGTCTACACGTACATCCAGTCGCGCTTCTACCGGGCTCCGGAAGTGATCCTTGGAGCCAGGTACGGCATGCCCATTGATATGTGGAGCCTGGGTTGCATCCTCGCGGAACTCCTGACAGGTTACCCCCTCTTGCCTGGGGAGGATGAAGGGGACCAACTAGCTTGTATGATTGAGCTTTTGGGCATGCCCTCCCAGAAACTCCTGGATGCTTCCAAACGAGCCAAAAATTTCGTGAGCTCCAAGGGTTATCCCCGGTACTGCACTGTCACAACTCTTTCAGATGGCTCAGTAGTCCTCAACGGAGGCCGATCCCGGAGAGGGAAACTGAGGGGCCCGCCAGAGAGCAGAGAGTGGGGGAACGCACTGAAGGGATGTGATGACCCTCTTTTCCTTGACTTCTTAAAACAGTGTTTGGAGTGGGATCCCGCGGTCCGCATGACCCCGGGCCAGGCTTTGCGGCACCCCTGGCTCAGGAGGCGATTGCCAAAGCCTCCGACTGGGGAGAAGACAGCGGTGAAGAGGGTCACGGACAGCGCTGGTGCTATCACGTCGATTTCCAAGTTACCTCCACCTTCCAGCTCAGCTTCCAAGCTGAGGACTAATTTGGCACAGATGACAGATGCCAATGGGAATATTCAGCAGAGGACAATGTTGCCAAAACTCGTTAGCTGAGCTCCAATCCCCCTGATGCTGGCAAGCTGAAAAATGCGTTATAGCTGAGCCTTATTGGGTTGAATAGTATAGCTCAGACCTGTTTTTATTTGCTCAGAAACTCGACTCGTTTTTATCTTTTCAGCACTTGATGTAAGAGTTTGTTTTGTTTTTATAAAATACATGGGGACAATGCTTTAAGTTTTTATACTTTCTGAAATAGTTTTTCTCCCTTTCTTGTGTTCTAAAAGTAAGATGAGCCTTACTGTATTTAGTGTGGCAGAGTGATCATACCAGTGGCAGGCCATTGATTTCTTCATGACGGCCACACATTTACAGATTGGTCAAACATAATCACTATGTTTTCATGGTTCATCCTCTATGCTCCCCAGGGAGGTGGCCCCTAGGGGTCCTCCTCCTCTCTCCATGCTCTAGGTTCCCGCAGGAGCAGCAGGCCTTGCTTCCATTTTCCGTAAATTAACCTGGGTCAGAGTGGAGGTGGAAGACGAAGGGTCAGGGTGAAAATCTCTAAGAAAAAAACGCACTTTAGAGAGTGTCTTTTTCCTCATGGTGTGTTGCCCAGGTTTAACCCGCCCACTTAACATTCTGATGCCCGTAAGCCACCAAGCAACATTTAGTGGATAAGTGGAAGCTGAGATGTAGAATTCCTCCCGAGGCTCTGGGAAGATGGCAAGCTGTCATAATCAGGAAACCTTCTGATTATGAAATTGCTTTTCTGCCTAATTTTAGGACTCCCCCCACCACTGTTCCCTGCTTCTCTTTCTCTTTTATCACACATCTGCTGCCTGCATTTAGTGTGTCTTTTTCCTTCAGCTGCCTACCCCAGACTGTTAATTCATAGAGCCATTTCAGCTGCCATTATGTTCAGAGTTTCATACCCCAGTTTCCAAAAGATCAGCAGCCTAGCTACCTAAGGGGGAGATTTCCATAGTTCCGAAGATTTAGCTGGCCAGAGTGAGTTCACACTGTAGGCGCCACTGAGGTTCCCTTAGCCTGGGAAAGCATCAATTCTTTCGTTAGAAAGAAAAGGGGTTGGAAATCCTCTTGGTGAAGAGAAGTCACTGTGGCCATTCATTTGGGCCAGTTTTAACAATAAATTGAAAGGAGGAGAAATTCAACCTCGAGTTAAATGGTTTGACTTATTCTTTGATTTGTTAGAAGAGCCACGGAAACTGCATCCCTCTGTTTAGTTTTACTTTCTTTTGGATGGCACTGAGTGTTTTTGTGGGGATGACACTTTACCTGAAAGAGTAACTAAGAGTTAGGTAAAAGAATATTTTCTTCTCTGAATGATAATTATTTTCACAGTGAAAATTTCAGTATTTTATCACTAATGGATGAACAGTGATATATATCAATTTCAAGGCACGTGGAAAGAATTTTTTTAGTATGTGCAATTTAATAGAGAAAGATTTCTGCCTGTTTGGACAATAGGTTTTGGATAGTAAAAATTAGGATAAATAATCTTTTATATGCACAGATATTATAGTATTGCCTGTAAATCGATTTACAAAGTACTTAAAGCATGGTCCCCAGTGAGGCCAAGAAAGTTTCCGGTTAAGTTTTTTCTTTATTTTTTAATTCTATGTTTTTTCTTATTTTAGAAAAACAAAAAAGCAAAAAAACAAAACAAAGAAAAAAAACAAATAAAAAGTGTCATTTTGAATAAAACATTTTTCTTATCTTGAGGCTTTGCCAGTTGATGGTGGAAAAATATGCTCAGGAATTATTTCAAATATTTGCCAAAAATCAGTAATAAGATTAGCTTATTAATAAGTTAGTGATGTTGCTGTTTGCTTTACTATTTAAGGATGCCATTGGTAAATTAATTTGTACCTTCTGTACTTAGCAATGATAGCTTATTTCCCTAGTCACATTCTTTAGCATACTGTACACATTTCTGTGTAATCTGTGAAGTGCAATAATATGTCAGTAAGTTACATTTTAAGTGACAGTTCTCCCAATCAGTGGCTTATAGGACTTAAAAATTTGTGTATTTAATTTTTTAAAAAATCGGCTTAAAGGCATGAGAAATATAAGATTTGGTCTGGGGACTTTTGTAAAACTACAAGTCTCTTAGTGATGTTTAGTGCCTTTAGGTCATTCAAGTATATTTAAAAACTACAAAAGCTGTTCTCCCCTTAAGAGGTTCCTGTTCTATTCCCATTATCACTTAGTTGTCGCAGTGTGAGCCTGAGCCTGCTATCACTAACTCCCCTATAACACGGCTATACTTGCAACAGTTTAGAAGTGGATTAAAATTGCTTCTTTCCCCCACCATACAAAACTGGTTCTTCTGATGCCAGCAGAGCATTTGTGATGTGCTTTATCCACAAATGCAACCGGAAACTTTGAAGCCAAACTATAATGTGCAGTGCTATGGGGCTTTCCTTTCTTTCTTTCTTTCTTTCTTTCTTTCTTTCTTTCTTTCTTTCTTTCTTCCTTTCTTTCCCCAACTACAGTGACATTTCTTTTATTCATAAAAGCCTCCATGTTTCAGCATTTACTGATACAGCTACTTTGAGAAGAATCCTATTTAATTATTGTGACTAAAATGAAACTGTTGCCTCTTTGTGATCTTAAAACCTAAATAAAGGGCTCTGATAGGCTACTAGGAGTCGGCTTGGAAACAGTCCTTGGTCTCACAGGTTACCATTGTCTAGGGATGTCTGAGCTGTTTTTGGATTTAGGAATAGCACAGTGTTGTCTTGTCTTTGGTTGCAGTCTCACTTGGCTCCGTTTCTTGCACTACCAGCGTGTTCTCAGCACAACAGTGGAACACTGAGTGATGCAAGACTGTGTAGATTAACATCTTAGAGGAGAAATTGTGCCCTTAGTGTTAACGATGTGCCTTTTGTTCTGAATGCCATGTTGTAGGGCATGCATTTTTTGGCCTCTTTAACTCTTTGAACTAGAGGTAGTAATGATGGAAGCCACCTCTGCAAAGATAACATCTGTCTTAAATATCTAGATTTATAGGCCTTAATAGAAACCATAAGGCGTGAACCATCATTGGGCGCTGAGCAAGATAACCATTGGTTAGTTACACCAGGAATTCCTGTGTTTAAGGGGTTAAAGATGGTCTTTGTTGTATCTGAACATCAGACTGATTTTTTTTAAATGATATTTTTTTGTTATGCTAACACTAGACAAAAATCAACTGTATTTGTAAAAATTTACCTCAAACCATTTAATTTTATAGTGTGATTAATCCCAGGGCATTTGGTATGAACCAAAGTGCATTCCTTTTTTTATGTGCCTGGCTCTTGTAGGGATGGCCAGGGATTTTTACAATTTGGGTGCAAGGCACTTAAGCCACTTTTAAACTTACTGGGTGGTATGGAGTCATGCTAAGTGACTCCATCAGAATGTTAGGAAACACTATAGGCATCAGTAGCATTGGGCCATATTGGAATCTTAAAAGCGTGAATTATTTTGAAGAGAACATTCATTTTTGTAATTTTTTTCATCAAGAATATTTCTGGTAAGCAGAAGATTTTTAAAATAAAAATCAACTGATTTGGTTGGTAAGGTTTTAATATTGCCCAACATAATGCTGTGGTAGCATTTAAAAACAAGTATTTGTGGACTCTCTGTTTTTAGGGGCTTGTACATCTCTCTGCTATGGACATATATAAGATTCACTGTAATTATACTCAGCTCAACTGCTACAGTTATGTCTAGGCAGTGGCTTGGGTTTTCATCGAGCAACAACTTAGACATGTGACTGTAATAATGCTGCAACTGTGTGTACTGAAAAATATGTGAAAATGGTTGAATGTGGACTGTGTATATATGTATGTACAGATTTCTGTGAGATGCTGCTGTCGCCACTTAACATGGAAAGTGTTCTAAGGGGTTTGAATCCTAGTGGCCAGTTCTATGATACTGTATGTATTGTACAGCTGATGACAGGAGTAAGACTGTTCAGTGAATATTTGTTAAATTTTATTGTTGTGGCCAGAGATAATTTCAGAATAAAATTTTAATGTCCTACCTTAACTTTTCTCCCCTTCTCTAACTATAATTTAACTCCTCATCTGTTTCTGGTATAATTACTCTTGGTTTGTTAAACCTAGAGAGACATTAGAATCTCAGATGGCTTGAGATGTTAAAACGGTCCATTCTGCTAATTTGTTCACCAGCTGTGACTTTATTTCTGCATTATAAATATGCAAATTCTGAGGGTTTTTCTTAATTTAAAAAAGAAATGAAGTTTTAAGAAGAAACTCCTACTAAACCTGCGCTCTCAAGATAGTCTATTTATCTGTAGTCATTTTTTGTGTTAATTTTTCTTTATGTGGTACCAGAGCTTCAAATTCTTTTCTCCTTCAAGCTTGCAGTCAACGAGAGAGCAGGACGCTCCATTCTTTTCCAATAGTCTTCATTCTTTCCAGTGTGCAGTTGTGGTCAGTTATTCCCAGATGCTCTTGGGTCTATCCCAGGCTTTTGAATGTGCATGCTTTCACTGTTTTTATCTGTGGTATGTTCTGTGGTTCACAACTGGGGGTTTTGGTGGTTCCCAACATGACTGGGTCAGAAAATAAGGCTTGTTAACTGCATCTAACTCTAGATGTGTTGAGCTCAGTTAACTCCAAAGTAAAGAGTTTACTTACTGATTGATGACGACAACAACAAGGTAATATGTCAGACATCACTGGGACTTAGTGTAGATAAGTGTTTCCCTTGTGGTGAGAACTACCTCACAATTTTGTTTACAACTCTCCTGCTGAAGAACTCTGCGGCCTCCTATATCTGAGATTGCTTAGTCTTCAAATACAATGCAGAGATTTTCATATATGCTTATCTTGCTGCTCAGAGTTTACATCCAGTGTGAAAACACAGCAAACAGAAGAAAAACTGACCAACTAGGAGCAAAACAAAATACAAATGTCTAATCGATGAGCATGATGGATATGAAAGTCCAGGCAGATCCATAATGCCCTTGCCTGACCCAGAAAAGAGGAGCTTCCACTCCTCCTTCTATCAAATCTTTCTAAACTCTTAAGTTGATTAATGCTGTATTCTGTTTGAATCCCTGTAATCACTTTCCTTTTGGATTCAGCAACTATAAAAATAAGTATGTAGACATGAGGGACTTCAAAATTGCTTTCAAAATAACCTTGGAGATTGGTCCTTGTTAAGATCAATATGGCTCTTTTCAAGAAGGGGAGGGGGTTGATTACCTTTGTGTTAGGAAAGGACTTTAGAAGAGACCCGTAGGTATTTGTGGATTCATTTCATTTTTTTTTTTGTTTGAATTATGACGATTGTCAATCAGACTTTATGCAAATAAACACTTGTACTGGTGGTACCTAAGTCCCTCCCCCAAAGAAAGTTTGACTACTGTGTTGGGTATGCATGAAAGAATTCTGTCTTCATGCAAAGAGGTTAGTTTATTTGCTTTCACCTGGACTTAACTGATTGGCTGTGATGGCATCCTTAGTAACTGAGAAGGAAACAGGAATTGCCATTCTCTTGCCTCTCAAGGAAGTTTAGTACTTCAAGAGTGAATGGAGACTCTCTGGAGTGTTAAGTGACTATAATAAAGAGCATAGGAGCTTTGCTCCCTACAAAAGAGAGAAAACACCCTTGTAGATCCCAGTGTTATGGGCATCATTCATCCTTATATCTTCCTTTGAGCTACAATTGTCTTCAATTCTGAAGAAAATGATATGACTGATGCCAAAGAAACTGTGTAGAAACAGAAATAGGTCTAAAGTGAAGAAATTTAGAAAGAAGAAAGGAATTTTTACTAGCTATCAATTTTCAAGAATATCTTTTCAATTGAGAAACAACAACAACAAAAAAAATGAGGACTAGAACATTTTAGTCTCTTTAGGTATACCTGTAAATTTAGATGCAACTGCACACACACATCCATTAATTTGCAGAAGAGCAGCATGTGGCCATTTGTGGAAAGGGTGACTGTAGCTCTGCTCTTTATTTCCTGTGTTCGTAAAATGTCCTTTTCTTACATTTGAGTGTATGAAAATATTTTTGACACCGTTAATTCTCAGGGAATTTAAAATTAAATTTCACTGATTGTAGTAGTAGATAAATCTCTTTAAATTCAGATTTACTCAGGTTCTCTACCCTTTGCCTCCATATTTAAGTAAATATAGAATGCTTACTAGGGAAGTATATAAATATAAACATCTCAGATACAGTTTTAAAATACCAAATTGTAAATAAATCAGTTTTTACAAACTAAAAGATTGTGTCTTTCCTTGCTTTCTGTAACAGGTTATTTACCTCCTACATTTGAGAAGTTTTAAATATGGAGAACTTTTTATTCCTTGGTAAAAATGCATTCTTTATAAAACAAAGGCCCATGAAAGCATCATTTAATAAGAATTCTGAATTTTTAATTGTTTAGGGGGAATGATATGTGACTGATTATAATCCATTCATCTAGACTTAGTAAATCAGCATATGATTAAATTGGGGCTAATTTGCCATCACTTTCTCAGAAAGGCACTGCCCTACTTATTTTCCCCTTTCCCTAGAATTAAAATCATTGGACTTCCGGTCTAAGTATGCTTAAATTTAAAAAGAAAGACGTCGACACCATAGAGCCTTTCTAATATCTGTTGCAGACTGTATTCATTTGCCAAGTGCTTACTAAATGCCTGCATGTGAAGTTGGGTCATAGGTGCTAGATATGTAAAATATTGAGTAAAAATAGACACGGGTCCTATCCTCAGGGAGTTGTTAGACGGATTGTGAGGGGAAAGCATGTGGCAGAGTGTGTGTACAATGGCAAAGTGGCTGTGTTGTGTTGTGTAGGTCATGAGGGGCTTCTCTAGGGAGTAGCATTTTCTGAGGAAGTGAGAGTAGGGTAGTTAGATGGAGCTGGTTAAGCAGCTGAAGAAGTCCTGTGGAGGGAGCCCAGAGTATGAGAAATTTGGTGTGAAATGAAGCTACTGTGTGCCAGAGCAGGCCAAGCTTGTAGGTGATGTTGAAAGTTTTCCATCCTTGATCTAGGGTGCAAGGAAGTGACCCAAGGGATTTTTAAGGAGAAAGGAAGATGCCACAAGTAAATTGGCTCTCCTTGGCTGTCTATAGAGGACTGAAAGAGGAAAGAGAGACAAGGGAAGGCCACTTGAAAGTATTGATAAGAAATGATGGGTTGGGTGTGGAGATATTTGAAGAAGATGGGTGGATATGAAGATTAGGGAAATAGAAATAGGTATTTGTGTATGAGAAGTAGCTGTAGCTATTTCAGGTTTGCTTCATGGAATCAAAGGGAATTGCAATACCCTATTTGTTCAGAGAGAATTGGAGATTAATGTGTTTGGTTAAACCGTGAAGTACCGGTGAACGGTAGTTTGCTAAAGACTTGAAACCTTGGAGTAAAATTCCACTTACTAGGTCATTGAGAAAATTTTGGGGAACTTTTAGATGTAAGAGATTATTTAACATACACACACAGGCATAAGTTGTAAAGGCCAACTTAGCCAAATTCTCCAACAAACATAATCTCCCTGGTTAGGTTGCCTCTTCTGCCCCTCCCTTCTCTCATAGAAATTAAGCATTCTAGGGATGGAATTTAACAGTCCTTCCTTGCCTACTTGTAGGGTCTGTGTTCCCTGAATATCTGAAGCTGTTGATACTACTGAACCCTGTACATACAAATACCTTCACAGACCTGCAACAAAGTTTAGTTTATAAGTTATGTGAGATGACTAATAGCAGATAATGGACTAGGACGATAGACAGTGGTAAAAGGTTCAGGATCAGTACTTTTGCCATTTGAGGCCATTCTTTCAAAAGTAAAGGTGACTTAAACACCAGCCTTGTGTGTCTGTGTAAACTGATCTGATAACCATGGTGGCTGAAGCACAGCTGATGTGTAAAGCATGTATACCTTGGACATAGTGCATGTATCATATCCCAGTTAGTATAGTGTGAGCTCTCATACTACTCATAGCAATGTATAGTCTAAAATTGTTTCTGAAAATTCCCATTTAATATGCCTGTTGTTGACAACAGGTACCTGAAACCACAGAAGAGAAACCTCAAATACGGTTTCATAAAGAAACTTGAAGGATGGAACATGGTAGTTGTGCGTGGTGTGTTTGGTTTACCAAAACGATAATAATAACAAAGAAGTGGGTTGCTGACCTTGAGGATGTGAGGTTTGCTTTGAAGATCATTTGTGTTGCTGGTGGATAAAAAAAGCTTCAGAAAGGGGTTTCCAGCCAGGTCTAAATGGAATCCAGAGGGGTACAGAGCTAAGGAGCATTTTGAGAGAAGAAAACTCTTCTTACAGAGGTGTGTGTTGTTTATTCATCATCCAACATGTAAGGGGCTACAGTGTAATTTTGGGCCTGACCAGGACAGGAGTGAAGCATAACTCTTGGAAAGGGCATGTGTGGTTTCCTCAAATGTGTAGTGTCCCAGCATTTCACAACTACTGTCTTTCTGGAAGGCATGAAGTTGGGCAAGGTGGTACTGCCAAAGCTGACACTGGCATCTCCTTCCCTCTACCTGGGAAGGTCTCACTGTATAGTGAGTGGAACTGAGATGAGAGAGGCAGCATTCTCACCACTTCCCTCCATCACTCATCCTAGGCACACGTTCACACAGAACACAAGTGATGTCTTGAAGATGGGTGATCGACAGGTAATGGCTCGAGTGTCAGTTGCGAATTGTGAGAAATACAGGAAAGCAAGAGTGGATAGATGTTGGGAGGAAGGATAAAGATGGGAAGGAAGGTAAAGGTCCCTTGGAGGCAATGCTTTATAGGATGTGCTATCCTGCAGGGTGTAAATGCTCAGTCTGGGAAGGGGACTCTTCATTAGTCCCTTCTAGTACCTGATGTACCTCTTGTGCTTGGATGGTCCAAAATGGAAAAGGAGCAATCAGGCTGTGAACTTGGCTATCCAGACCATGGTGAGGCCCCAGAGTTTGTTATGATTATACCAGCAAGCCACTGGAACAATTAACATAGTAGTTTAAGTAGCCATTCTGGATTCTCATGGAAAAAAAGAACCATG